TTTTAAGATGGAGAAAGATTGCGAAGCGATGGGCAGACGGCGCATCGATGCAAATACATGGAGACAGATGGCGCACCAGTTGAGAGAGATGGCGCACCAAGAGAGATGGATGGAGTCACAATCTTCCCCTGAATACAACGTCCGGTCATTACAGCTGAATTCGGGTCATCTTTCAGTCTAAAGAAAACTATAATGAAAGTGCGTTGTATATTCCGGGGAAGAAGGTAGATGGCGCAGGAAGGGAAAGAGATCGAGAAGTGATTGGGAGATGTGCCGCAGCGAGACACAGAGATTGCGCACCGATGGAGAAACATGGCGCAGCAATGGAGATAGCAGGCGCAACGATGGTTAGTGATAGGACAACAATGGAGAAAGATGGCGCACCGAAGCAGATAGATGACGATAGAGATAGATTAGGAAAGATAACGCAACGATGGAGATAGATGACGAAGGAGATAGATTACGAAAGATAGCGCACCGAAGGAGATAGATAACGAAGGAGATAGATTAGGAAAGATAACGCAGCGATGGGGATAGATGACGAAAGGTCGGTAAAGATTGCGAAATGGTAGAGAGAGATAGAGAGAGGACTCGCAACAATGGTTAGCGATGCCGTAGCGATGGAGAGAAAAGGCATAGCGATGGCCAAGATTTGTTATTTCACAACATTAGTTCCATCGAGTTAAACCTTCGTTAAGCATACCTGTCACTTGCTTCGTGCAATTCCAAAGTGATGGGCGGCTGCACGGATGACGGCCTGAAACAACAATACAATGGTGATGGCGGGATCGGGCAGGAGTAATGGAGAGCCTCACGGGCAAGGATGGAGGTTGCCCGGTGGTCGAGAGAGATCGCGCAGTGATGGAGTGAGGTGGAGAGTGATCACTCAACGATGGAGGGAGATCGTGCAGCGATGGAGCGAGAAATCGCGCAGCGCTGCAGCGGGATATCACTCGCCAGGGCTTCGATAGCGATGGTTAGCGCTGCGGTGGAGAGCGATGGCACAGTGATGGAAAGCGTCACAATGCAGCGATAGCGATAGCGATGGCAGCGATGGAACAGCGATAGCGATGGCGCACCGGTGGAGAGCGATGGCGCACTGGTGGAGAGCGATGGCGCAGCGATGGAACAGCGATAGCGATAGCAGCGATAACGATGGCTCACCGATTGAGAGATGGTGCAACGATGGAACCTGCGTTGCGATGGCAGCGATGGTACCAGCGTTGCGATGGCAGCTATGGTACCAGCGTTGCGATGGCGCAGCGATGGTCAGCGCTGCGATGAGACCGATTGCGATTGTCAGCGCTGCGATGGTCAGGCGAGAGCGACGGCTGAGATGGGGGATACAGCTTTGCGTCGCAATGGCGATGAGCTAAGCGCGTCGATGACGATGGTGCATGGCGAGCGTTGGCGATGGCGATAACTAAGCGCATCTTGTCTGCCCCTTGTTTTCGGGAACTTTCACATCATTGCACGTCGGAGTTGACGGAGATTTTGGGGCCACTGGCATATAAGTAGCTCCGTTCATCTGCGCGGTTGAAAATTGTTGATCAACTACTGACAATTTCTGGTACCCCTTACCATTTATAGGCTCTGGCGTTTTATGGGCGCAGGGGTGCGATACGCGAATCGATTCGGCCCCATCGTGATAGCGTTTTGTGGGCCCAGAGGTGCGATATGCGAATCGATTCGGCCCCACCTTGATCCCGACGCGAGGCCTGCTGCAGCAAAGTATAAAAGGCGTTGTAGCCCTCGAGTTATCCCTTTTGTTGGCGCTCCACAGATCAAGTCGCGCTATCGCTTCCGCGCGCGTTCTGTTATTTGGTCTTCAGCCCCCCCCACCTTCCGCCATAACCTGCTCACTCTCCGCTCTTCGCTTCATCCGCGGTTGCCACATTGTGTTTGGTTCGCTCTTCGCTCTTCGCTCTTTGCTCTTCGCTCTTCCTAGCTCGATATCCCTCCACCATAGCTTGTTCGGTGGTCGCACATCCATATCCGCCCGACGTAGGTTGCTCGCTCAACGCACGATGAAGGTAAAATTATATAACTTCAGTTGTCCTATCCTGTGTCCGACGTCCGAACACATTCTCAGATGCCCTGTCTGTACCTGCAGGATATAACGCCGCAGCCGCGTTCTGTTGAACCCCGAATCAATTCCCCGTTTTGTTGTTTCGCGAGTGGACGTGTTCTGATGTCTTTTCTCCACCCTCCACCTCCGTCCGTCATAGCCGATGCGCGTTCCGCAGCTCGATTACCTTTCGCCATAGCCACGATAACGTTCGTATAAAGCTGCTCGATCCGCTTCGCAACTTGTAGTCGTCGCTACGCATGGCGAACCCCGAATCAATACCTAGTTTCTACACTGAACACCGAATCAATTCCCGATTTTCGCTTACCTGTCCCTTGTGAGGTCGTCGACCTGATATCTACATATATATATATATATATATAGATATAGATACATATATGTATATATAGAGATATATTGCTACACTGAACACCGAATCAATTTCCGATTTTCGCTCACCTGTCCCTTGTGAGGTCGCCGACCTGATATATATATACATAGATATAGATACATATATAGAGAGAGAGATATATTGCAAGTCAGTTCCCAGTTTGCGACGTACAGTGTTCGAGGAGTGACAACTGCGAGGTAATTCGCAGTTTTCCCAAGGTTAGGAACATATTTCATTAAAGGCAGTTCTTTATTTCCACAAATGCGAGTTAGTTCGCACTTTCTGAGCAACACAGCTGGAAAGTTGATAACCCATCCTGTGCGGCTTTCAAGTCTCCAGTTCCACAATTCCGAGTTAGTTCGTACTTTCCCCTAGTGCTGCGGGTTGCCATTGTTGTCTTGTCTACAGAACTGCGAGTTAGTTCGCACTTATCGACACCCTTCGCAATTGTCGATAAACCAGGTCTTCAGTTCCACAATTCCGAGTCAGTTCGTACTTTCCCCTTGTACTTCGTGTTGCAATTGTTGTCCAGTCAGCAGAGCTGCGAGTTAGTTCGCACTTATCGACACCCTTCACAGTTGTCGATAAACCACATTTTACTTGTTTCGTGCGTCTTTCAGGTCTTTAGTTCCACAATTCCGAGTTAGTTTGCACTTTCCTCTAGTGTCGCGGGTTGCCATTGTTGTCTGGTCTACAAAACTGAGAGTTAGTTCGCACTTGTCGACACCCTTCGCACTTGTCGATAAACCACATCTTACTCGTTTCGAGGGCATCTAGTCTGGTCGCAATCTTTCCGAAGAGTTGTCGTCTTCCCTCCGAACTCACTCTGCCATCCACCCAATTGTTTTGTATTCGTTTGCATTTCAAACACCAATCTCATTCTTCGGTTTCCTTGAGCCCTTACTGCACGTCGGTTCCCCCTTGTCGATACCCATGTGGTACTTGCTATAGATGACTTCATTTTCGAAACTCCGAGTAAGTTCGTACTTTCCTGAAGATAAATTACCTCTTCCTCGATTCTAAGACAGCGAGCTCGTTCGCACTCTGCCAGAGGACTGCTGTCTTTCCTATCGTTCACCCGATGGTTGTGACTTCGTGTGCATTTCGAACACCCTCTTACGTCCTTTTCGTCCTCCATTTCGTAAAGTCCGAGCTAGTTCGCACTTCGCTTCGGTACTGGTCTGGGGTTGGGCGTATTAGTCTTCCGAGTTGGTCTGAGGTTGGGCGTGCTAGTCAATTGGGTGGGAGTACAATGGCGTCCGCAAAGAACACATCCACAAGCGCTGGACTGTCTGCCCCCGGGGACGGATGACCTCTACAGCAATCTACTCCTCAGTATATGCACGCAATGGGAGCACAATGGTTTTTGGACTTCGTTGTTAAGGGGGCCCTTTTTGGGCCAGCTGTTTTCATGGGACCCACTTGCGTTCCAGACGCCGGGGGAACAATCAACGTTCTTCCTCTCGGTACCATCGTCTCGTGCGCCAAGACTCCTGGAGGTTTGCTCAAGCTGCACACTAACGGCTTGTACGACGAGTGTAGACAGCCTATCAGAGGTGTTGAAGGTGTGCTGGTGACCATCAAGAGTTTCGCGGAGTACGGCTCGAACATGACGTTGTGCTCTCACTTCAAAGGCCTTTATGATGGCGGCAGCAAGCGTCTTCCATCGCCAGAGCAATATCTCGATCTCGCGCTGATGGTGCGGAAAGGACGTTCGGTTCTTCCGCGCGAACATGTTTTTCGGCTTCTGCCACCCCATGAGGGGTCGTCCGGCTTGGCTCAAGAAACTCCAGGCACGGCAGTGAGGCGCGGGAGTCCGATTCAAGACGCTGGGGGTCGGGTCAAGGGGCGTGCGCAGCGTTCACACGCAGGTCGGCCCGGATACTCCTAGGAACACGTCGGACTTGCATTCTCAGGGTACAAGGACTCAACGGGTCGGTACTCCGAAACTCATCAAGAACCGCTGCGGCGGCGACACGTATTCGCTTTGAGATGAGACGAGAAGAGAATCTGGCAGATCAAGGCAAGATGTTGGAGGGAATGAGGCTGAAGGGATGGGCGTTGTCCTCGAAAGCTCTGGCGGGGAGCAGACTCCTTCAGAGAAGAAGCGCGAGCGACAGAGGATGGCGCGAGAGGAGGTGGCAGAAGGAACCCTCCGCATGAAGAGGATGAAAAAAAAATCGGAGCCGGTGATGGGCGGGGATGGAGGTGACGTCGGAGAACGTGCCTCGGGAAAGAGGCCGCCGAAGGACGAGGGTGGGATGGCAAGTAAGAAAGCGAGGAGGCCTGGCAGTTTCACCATCCGCAAAGGACAAGCCGTGGGTGGAGGAGATTCGGTTGATCCAGGCGTTGCGGCCGCGAGAGAACCTTCGGGGAAATAGAAATGGAAAGTGGCAGCTGAAGAAGGCGATGGCCAGAAGAAACCTCGAAGGCGGAAGACTGCTGAGGCGGCGAGCGGGTGCGAACGGCCTGTCAGGGAGGAGTGCGATGAAGCGGCAGCGTTCTGGCTCGAATACGAGCAGAACGATGGCGGCGAAATCGTGGAGAAGGAGCTCCCCGTCCAACTGCTCATCGACCCCAGGAAGATCTGCGACATCCCATCTTGGGAAAGATAGTACAACCACTGCAGTCTAAATCGCGAAACTGTGGACGACATCAAGGTTGCAATGCTGCGTCAATTCTGCGAGAAAAGGGGGAAGATCTGGACGAAAAACCCTTTGGTTCTGGCACCCATCTACAAGCCGGTGGAGCGTAGGCTGGAGCAAGCTGACAGGGTTCACAAAGATGTCTTCAAGCCAGAGGACATGGACAAGTACTACTATTACCCTGTTAATGGACAACACACCGTGGCTGCTGTGAAGGAGTTGGAGGGTGAGCCAATATTCGTATTGTGGAAGATGCACTCGTGGCCGGCGAGAGTGGTGTGGTTCTCCGACCGAGATTTCACGAGCTATAGGCAGGTCAGTCTCAACGAGAACACGAGACACAAGAGGTCTAAGCAGCGATTGCAGAAGGCCGCGTTCTTGGACATGCGGGAGGCATGGGAGAAAGAAGGAAGGCCGATGGCCATTCAAGGGAACCCTTCCGGCAAGGAGGCCGAAAAACAAAAGTTTTTCAATTTCCAAAAGCTGATTTTGGGAAAGAGTCCGAACGAAGCTCACTGGTCGTTGGCAGAAAAAGATTTGCCGCTCGCCGACAAGGAGTATGTCACTGTCATTGGCAGTGCATTGAGGCAGTGGATGCCGCTCGTGACGGCCGGTGATAACGTTTTCCGCAAAGCCATGAAGTTCTACGTGAAATGGGCGGAGGGGAAGTTATTGGGCGGCGACGGCAAGACGCCATTGTCGAGGCCGGGCAAATACATGCCAGACAAATCTCCAAGTTTGCAAGCAATTCCAGAAATGGGCTCGAAAGCGGCGGCTGGTGAAACGAAGATGGGGTGGCTTGTCCAGGTACCTCCGCCTCTGACCAAAAAGAAAACGCAAGCGGACGACAAGTTTTTCGTGGTCGTGAAGGAGCGAGACATGTTCTGTTGGCAGTGTCTCGCCGACGTGACGGATGTCGAGAAACTGTCGATCCTTAACGACATTCTCCCGCTAAGGGGAGTGTTTGTGCAATCCGCGGGCGGCCAGCTGAAGCGTCAGCATAAACCTGGAATTAAAGACATGGTCGCGACGAGGAAAGTGGACCGTGTGATGCTCTGTATGTTCCACTACATCTTGTTCCTTGAAATGGAAGAGGACGAACGTGTTTGGTGCCACCAGAGCCCTTTTTTTCGGACCGAGGGGAGGTTTTTGGAGGAGTTCGGGCTGCAGGGCCTCACGAAACAGGTGTGGGTCGAACTGCGAAAGCATTTCAAGGGCGCGGTGGAGTACGTGAACACTTGCAAACGTACTCTTCTGCATGAGAAGGAGTCCACCGCCTTCTCTGTGGGAAGAGTGCGAGCCGACGAGTTGAACTCGTCACGTATATGACGCGACATGTTGATCCCCTTATTTTTTACCACATCAAATAGGTTATTATCCATTTTGTTCTCCATCGGAAATATCCACTATCATCATTTTTCGTGTGTTTTCTTAGCATATAAAGAATGGGATAAAAGGGTGATGATATTTGTGCCCTTGCAAAATGTGATTTTTTACTATTCGAGACAACCACCTTAAAATAAGTGACAAACAAAAGAAATATCATGTTTATTAGGACCACGCGAGATTAACGAGCGGATTGATACATTGATCGATCACGAGGCACATCAAATGCCCCGACCTCAACCGGGTGACCAGCCTTATTCCTTTCGCTTTCCCGCCTTCCCAAGCTCACGGTCATGTCACTGCGATCCGTGAGGTTGTGCGACATTACGTGTGCAACTTGTACGTCCTCGATTTGTGTGATCCCACACTCCTCACAGACTGGTGAGAAGACGATTTCGCCAACTTGCAAGGCGTTCTCCAAGCACTTTCGCCAACGCACTGGGCACTTGTGGCCTTTTTCCCCTCTCGTTGGGAGCTCAGTTTCTTGAAAGGCATGGCCAGGCTTAGCGTCCATCACGTCAGGACAGGGAAGTGGGTGCGCAATGAACAAAAGGAGGCCACTGTCCGGGAAGGCAATATGCTGGTTGAGGAGTGTGACCTCCTGTACGTGATTTTTAATGGCGAAAAGCTCGAAGACAACACATTCGCAGTCTACCCGGCCAGGAGCCCGACAAAGGCTTCCCGTGCTCATGGTTCAAGTCCGGATAAACAGATGGTGGCGGCCCGCTCGAAAGTTGTGAGTTCGTCGGACCCATCAGGACAGACTGTGGAGTGTTTCGATGTGGCGGAAGAGGAAAGGTTCTCTCGTAGCATGTGGGAGGATGGCGGTGTGACAAGTTCTCAAGGACCTGCTTACGGGGAGATGGAGTGGAACCCGCCCCGTCTACTTGGTCTGCTCGAAAGCTTTTGCAAAGCTGGGAAAACTGTTTTTTTCTTTGGGAAGGCGCATGCGTCTGTCGTGTGGGAACTCCTCCGCACCGGTCGGAACATCGTCGCGTTGGAGAAGAAGGCGAAGATGATCGAATACCTTCACGAGTTCGTAAGGGCACTCGTTGCAGACACTCGCAATGATTGCGAGTTTGTCCTGACCACCGGCGAACGGAACTGGGATCCCAAACATGACATGTATTGAAAATTGTCGGGGAACAACAGGACGGAGGTTTGGGACTTCCTTTTCCAACCCGGACCGCCTGGTCCAACCGACCTCGAATACAGTCGACGGAGAAACCTCGTGTTCAGTGTGCTCAATGGGTACCACGATGCACCCAGGGAGTCTGTCTCGCATTTTTTGAGAAGGCTGGAGCACGTTTACTTCACGCTGGCCGAACCGCTCACCCTTGAAAACTACAAGTCACAGTTTGACGAGGAGGACCCTTTCGACGCTGAAGACATGGAGGAGCTGAGCGACTCCGAAACCTTCGATTTCGAGTCCATGCCACTTCCTCAGGTGGTTGGACAGGTTGGTGAAGAAGAGGAAGGTGGCTCTCGAAGATATAGCTCGTCCCCTGCCGGTTTGAAGCGTGTGTTTTGGGGCGAACCAGTCGACGACCAATCGTCTGATGATGGGGAGGAAGAGAGAGACTATGATCACGAACCTTGTGACAGGCTCCCAAAGGACCATGACACCTGGCAGAATGACAAACTCTACTTTTTTGGCAAGCATCACCGGGGTCACGCCGGAGGATGTTTGGGGACACAACATCGTCTGACACCCGAGGATATTCCAACATGCTGTGAAGAATGGAAAGTGGGTCATTGCAATGAAGGGGGCCGATGGCAAGTGGAGTGGAATGAAGAGACTGGGACCGGGTACATTTAAGAGAACGGCGAGAGATGCTCTGGTGGAGCATTTGAGTCTTATGAACCCCGAAAGGAGCGATCCGGACGTCGCTGCGTATGCAGAACAAAAGCTAAATGAGTTGTGCACCAGCAAAATGTTGGAGTTCCGAGCACCTTTCTACACACTTGAAAAGGCACCGTCTCGTGGCATTGACTGGCGCATGCCGCAACCTCCGTCGGGCGGTCAGCAACAGGGAGGGGTGGAGGAGGAGACGAAGGAGACGGCGGAGGTGGCGGAGGAGACGACTCACAGTTTGCCAGAAAGGGGATGGGCAAGACATCGTYGGTGGAGAAGGCGTCCGACGGAAAGGGGTCAGGCGGAAAGGACTCGGGCGGAAAGGGGTCAGGCGGAAAGGACTCGGGCGGAAAGGGGTCAGGCGGAAAGGACTCGGACGGAAAGGGGTCGGGCGGAAAGCGTAGAACGTCCGGGAGTCCCCAGTGTCTGGAAACTGACCCTCACTGCGTAGGGAGTTGAGATTCTGACATGCGAGACGAGGCCACCCTGAGGTTTGATCAAGTGCCAGTAGATTCGCACTTGTCTGCGATGACTTCGTTTCCCGTTGCCGAGGAGAGTCCATCCCGCCGTGCGCAGCAGAGGTCTCCTGTGCTCAACACCTTGCTCCTGAAAGAGGGCGCGTCTTCRTTTTGCCTGGAGGGCGGGATGCCTGCATTGCGAAGGAGCGAAGGTGCGACCTTCGGTTCCCTCGGCTCGGGCGACCGCCACAAACTTCGAATACATTCGGATTTGCTGACGTCGCCCTCCGCCATAAGTGCTCCTCACGCAACAGTTYCGCGGGGCCAAGAAAATGTCACTTCCTGYCCCCCGYATCKTCAGTTGGACACAGGGTTGCCYTGCTCGCCTTCGTTCTCATGTGTYGAGACTCGAGACCTGCGGTCTCGCGAYGTGCTGGAGGGGCCCGCTGCAGGAGTGTTGGAGACCGGGGGTAGCGAGCACGAACGTCACACTCCTGGGGAAGAGGAGCGCTCTCCGGGAACGCGTGCTGTACATCGGGAAGGAGAGACTCAACGTTGGCAGTCTCGCAACGTGTTGGAGACCGGGGGTAGCGAGTGTGAACGTCGTGCTTCGGAGGGTGCGTCCGTGGACACTGACAACGAGAGTGCAGGAGCTCCGCGGGAAACGCATGCTTTACAGCAGGGAGAGGAGACTCGATATGGGCCGGCTCGTGAAGACGTGAAGTGGCTCCACGCACGAGCGCTGGTGATCGGGACGTCCGAAGAGGTTTTGCACAGTCGTTCGGCTGTGGCCACGACGCGAGAGGGTGTCGTTAAGGGAGGTAAGTGGACGTCCGTGCAAGCTCCCGTTCTTGGCGATGATGAAGACGAAGAAGAACCAGTGGTGGAAGCTCGGGTTCATGGCGATGAGAAAGGCGGAGAACCCGTGGGTGTCGTTAAGGGAGGTCAGTGGACGTCCATGCAAGCTCCCGTTCTTGGCGACGATGAAGACGAAGAAGAACCCGCGGTGGAAGCTCGGGTTCATGGCGATGAGAAAGTCGGAGAACCCATGGTGGAAGGCGGTGAGGTGACTGTCGACATCCGGACGGATCCACAGCGGAAAGATGGTGATTCTTCGCCCACCCATTGGGGTGAAGAACAGGGTTGTCGACCGTCTGTCCTAAGCACCGCTTGGGGAATGGTGCTTCATGAAGCCATAGAGTTGGGTGACGACTCGGCAGCCACCGAGGTGGTTGGCGACTCAGGCGTGGCCGAGATGCAGAACGTCGAATCCTCCGAGGAAGGCGGTGAGGTGGCCGTCAGCATCAAGATGGATCCAGAGCGGAAAGATCATGATTCTCCGTCCACCCATTGCGTTGCCGAACAGGGTGATCGAGCATCTGTCCTCAATACCGGTCGGGAAATGGTGCTTCATGAAGCCATCGACTTGCCAAGCGACTTAGCTGCCACCAAGCTGGTTCACGACACAGCCGTGGCCGAGGTCCAGAACCTCGAATCGTCCGTGGACGTTAGCGCAGTGGCGCGACAGGAGGGTCAGTTCCCTCAATGGGCTCCCGAGCACAGTAAGATTTGTGAATAGGAGCACTCGCATATCTGTCACTAACCAGCTCTGTGTTCGTCCAAATTGATGTCATGGGCTGATGTACCTATTACCACTTGTTAAAAAAAACCTTGTGGGCTGTTGGTTGTTTTCTATGTTCTACAGGTGTGAGGTTGTTAATGTCCCTGCTCATGAAGCCTTTAAAAGCCGTGCGAGAGAAACGTCTTTCAGGGAGGTCATTTGCCCCTTTACCGAAGAAGTCGTCAAGTGTAGGGTTGTTTAAAAGGGTCCAGATACCTCGCCTTTCCCAGAGAGTTGTCAAGGTTCTAAAGGCTTGTGGAATAGATAAGGAGGAAGGTCTGCGGAAACATTTGGCTGCGTCTATTGAGAGAGTTACTACTTTGTCTGATGGGTCTGATGACGATGGCAAACGGGTGTCTTGAAAAACCCGTGTCCTAAGTACATCGCGAAGGACACATTCAACAGTCGGGGATACAACTTTTCTGGGAAAAGGGTAGGCAATACTTAGCCATTCCGCCCCGGGGTTTGTGCTCACTCCCCACACTTGTTCGTGGGTGTTTGTGCAGTTGGGGCTACATCATGTTTTCGCGTTCCCTTGCCTACTGAGGAGCTTAGCGCCACGGACTTCAGAATGTTGCAGGACGTCTGCGGAGATTTCAGCAACCCACGAGGTGGTTTCCTCGGTTCGCAGAGGTCCCAGTTCGATTCCGTTGACCAGAAAAAGTCTTCAAACTCTTGTCCAAGGGGGATGGTTTTCCGACGAGGTGGTGGAGTCGTACTTGGCCTTGCTTGCCAACGCCGCGTTCCCTGGGKGTCCCTCTCTTTACATTTGCAGTATCTTTTTCTATACCAAGTTCGTCGGTGTCGGCTATCGACATGAAAGTGTTGCGAAATGGACAAAAGATGTGGATATTTTCTCGTATGGCATGGTCTTGATTTCTGTCGATAAAAATCGAGTGCATTGGACTCTATTATGTGTCCGAGAACAAGGGCTGGAGTATTACGACTCTCTCCTGCAAGACGATGGCGGTTTTTCTTCCGATGTGCTTGCGAACTTCACGTAATACCTCCGTGACGAAGCGGTTTGTCGATATGGTCAACAAGCAAAAATGGATCTCCCGGCGCCCAATGTGGTTGCTCATGGTGTCCCTCAGCAGTCGGACGGGTCGAGCTGCGGTGTGTTTATGCTCGCCTTTGCTTCTTTTCTTGCACGCGGCTATCCGCCACCATTTCTGATTGCCCAAAGCGACATTGCAAACATCAGGCTGAGGATTGCAGTGGACATACTCCAAGGCTCTSAATAATGCCCATRTTGTTAACATACGCGTAGTTTTTTTTCGAAAGGCCATAAGCAGAAGTGCGAATCTATTCCCACTTGATCTAGCAGTCAGCCGGTTCGAGTTGTGCTGTTGTTTTGATAAGGTACCAGATTGTAGTGGACGTTTTGGTCAAGTACACGCTTAGGTGTCGATGTAAATATCCCAGCCTCGTGCTGTAGCAATTTTTTAAGGGTTCTTCATTTCGTGGAACCTGTCATCTTTACTCGTAGGACTTTCAGCAGCGCCGTGCTGCCTTTGTTTGTTTYCGGGTTGTTCTCACTGCTTGSCGCACAACATCAGCTAGACGGTAGCAGCGGATGCTTACGTGAAGTAAAAGCTTATATGCTGATGTAAATATCCCAGCCATGTGGTGTAGTTCCTTTTGAGTAGACACTTACATATCAGATGTGAATATCCCAAYTTTGTGCTCYTTTTGTTTATTTTCGGSTTGTTCTCCTTATGTCCTCTCGGACCGCGGCAGCACTGTGCTGCGTTTGTTCGYTTCGAGGTTGTGCTCCTTTGTGACTCATGTGAAAGATATCGACGATTTATTCTTGGTCGCCAAATTGTTTCGTGTGCCGCCTCGTTTTACGGTTCACCYCCTCTGCTTGTYTCCATTGAATGTTGTCTGTTGGTTCCTTATGACAGTTGCGAACTTGTTCTCCATTCGGAAACCAATTGTYGCCAGAATGTATGTGTGCTTAAAGTTGTTTTACRGATTCAACGGTGCACTAAATGATKACCAATTTTGTTATCCCCGAAATACATCTCGTGCTCTCCACGGAATGATGGTTGTTGTTTCCGTATGGGAAATGCGAACATATYCGTACTTCAAATGCCGTACATTTGTGATTGAACTGTTGGTTCCATATGAGAAATGAGAACATATTCGCACTTTGGCTCCATGTACTTTGTAATTTTTGGAAAGCCTCCGTGCACTTTGCAATGTGGGATTGTATGATATTGTGCACTTTGCAATGTGGGATTGTATGATATTTTGCATTCAATGATTTTTTGAAACGTCTCTGTGTGCTTTGCAATTTGCCCTTGAATGAATTTCCTGCATTGAATAGTTTTTGGAAACTGTTCGTGTGCTGTAAGACTTCACCGTTGGAAAAACACTAGGCAACTTGAGATGTTTTCACCTCGATGTTTGCGATGTCACTGTGTGCTTTGCAATTTGACTTCAGATGTTTTCATCTCGATGTTTGCGATGACAAGAGATACTTGTATAAATGGATATGAATCTTCTACACAAAAAGATTTGATGGTGTTTTCAACCTGTGATATACAAATGACAAGCCAATGTCGATATTAAATCGTCACGCTGATGGACTTGAGATGTTTTCATCTCGATGTTTGCGATGATAAGAGATACTTGTATGAATGAATATAAATCTTCTACAGAGAAAGATTTGACGCTGTTTTCAACCTGTGATATACAAATGATAAACCAATGTCCATATTAAATCGTCGCGCTGATGGACTGCGCAACTGCTTCTCCATCAAAGTGCGAGTTCAATGGCACTTCTAGTGTGAGCCCTGAGCAATTCCCTCGCACTTTGCTTCATGTCGAGGAGGGTATCGAACGCACCGCCGGTAAGCACCTGCACATCACGAAACAAGAGCACGTCCCAATTGGAACATTGTCGGGTTCTTGCGATGTCGACTCCCACATGATGACTGCACTGAACAGTGGTAGGATGACGGCTCAGCCTCTGACAAGTATTCCCCCTAAGTCATGTTAAACAATTTGACTATGTGGAAGATATAAACTGTTTGAAAGTGCACTTCAAGTATTCCCCCAAATACAACACCCCCCCACGTAAACGGTTTTGGCGTACTTCCTAGAATGCATGTGATTGCAATTCTTATCACAATTAAAGTGTCATCGGGAAGCATATCCCGCGAAAGTACGATTGTTCGAAAATGCAAATATTTGTCTGTCTGCCTGCCCCCCAAGGTCTAGGTCAATGTGACACAGCCCAGTCAACGTCGACAAAGGCCCAGTCAGACAAAAAAGCAGGGGACGAGACCACTGTCGAAACCAAAAAGCATGACTGCATCTTACGACTGCATCTTCCACGGAAAGTGGTAAGATGCATCCGTCGACATTTCCTAAAACAGAAAGTCCACTACACAACAAAACGTGCAACAAGACCCAACAGTCAAAGTCCAAAGTGGACCCAGCCCAGGCCACCGGTCAGACGCACACACTTTAGTCAGACAGAAGTCCAAAAGGCAGTCCCGAAAGGCCACAACAGATAGTCAAAGGTCGCAGGCCCAGTTAGTCTCTGTCCTCAGATAGTCAAAGGTCGCAGACCCAGTTAGTCTCAGGCCCAGAGGTAAAGTCTTTGGTCAGACCAGTAGTCCAAAAGGCAGTCCCCAAAGGCCACTGCAGCAGCAGACCATGGGAAAGGTACTGGGACTCACACTTCGCAGCAACAGGCAGTGGGCATGTGGTCCCGGGCTGCCAGGCACATTCTGGTCAGAGGCTAGCCCAGCCAGACCAGTCCAGCATCATAAAAGATTGGCCAGCCTTCTATTTCGGCAGATGCTCATTCGCATGAGAGTGTGAAAGTGCTAGTGCACTTGTGCGCCAGATGTGAGGGAGCTGCGCTATGCCCAAGAGCAGCGCTAAGTAAGATCAGAGAGAGAGGAAGGTGGGCGCTACCGCCTGTATACGTCGCTGGGGTGGTGCTGCCAAGTGTCGCCGTTGCTGATGTGGCGCACGCCACTTGTCTACACTGCTGAGGTGGTGCTGCCACCTATCTTCATTGTGATGTGGCGCATGCCACCTCTCTCTACTATTGATGTGGCACATCCACGCTGTCTACATGAGGTGACTGGTTGCGACAAGGAGGAGGATCGGGATCTGTGGTTGAGTGAGGAGCGGGATACTTACCTCAGATTAACGTCGACTCTCTCTCTCTCTCTCTCTCTCTCTCTCTCTCTCTCTCTCTCCCCATGGCCCACACGTTTGAACCTTGGGAGAGGATGATGATCGATGATGATGACTTGTCATCATCATCTTGCGACGAGTTGCGGGTGGAAGAGCATGCACGTCCTGGCCGCAAGGAGAGCCGAAAGAGAAGGAGGAAGGTATGTCCTTAGACTAGGAGATTCATGGAGAAGGAGAAGAAAAACTTGGAGGATCTCATCCTCCACATCCGGCAGTAAGACGAGGAGGATGAACGTCGGAAGACAGAACAGGGAAAGGAGACAGTCGCTGGTACATCAACCGGCGCATCAACGGAAGACACCAAGGATGCCAAGGCGAGAGAGAGAGAGAGGGAGATAGAAAGAGAGAGACAGAATGAGAGAGTGAGAGAGAGAAAGAGAGACAAAGAGAATGAGAGAGAGAAAGAGTAACCCACAGGTGGGGTTTCTTTGGCACGTCGCAGGCATGCAGATCGACACATGAGACCGTGCACGTCAGAATCTGGATCGCTCGCCGGAAAAGGTTCCTTGCCACGCGAGCATGCGAGCGAGCGAGCGATCGAGAGAGAGAGAGAGAGAGAGAGAGAGAGAGAGAGAGAGAGAGAGAGAGAGAGAGAGAGAGAGAGAGAGAGAGAGACCATAAGCCGATCAAGGACTGCACCTCGTGACAGCCATGTGGCAAGTGCAATGATGGCGAGTCCACCACGTGGCAGCTGCACGGACGACATCGACTGGCATAGGCGAATTAAGGACCATGTGTCTCCCTCTCTCTCTCTATCTTTCTCTCCCTCTCTCTGGATATCCAGCGCACG